CAATTGATTATATATGTGGGCTTTATATACAAAGACGTATCAGTTCCATGTTTTGCTAATTTTCGTGCTCACTTTTCATGCTTTCGCTAATTTTCTTTAAATGTAAGGACCATATTGAAAGCTAGTTATTTAGACATTAGTTATTAGGACCAAAGTATAATTACTAGGATTTAGAGGTCATTATTATTACTTTTAGTTACACTGCATATAATTGGTAGTTACAGTTGTTAATGAATCAGTTGGAAAATTCCCAAACTCTCGTCTTCTTCTTCACGCTTATAGCTCTCTCCCATGGCTGAATTCTAACATGGTATCAGAGCCATGGAGACTGATTCGTGAGGATTTCGACCATCATCTAACCAATTTCCTACTCAATTCGATTGCTCAGTACTCATTTCAGTCAATTTTTTGCTTGATCGTGAAAATCAATTGCTGAAGCTTGTGCGTCAATGGCGACAGATAAAAGCGACCATACGCACCCTCTTTTTCTTCAACCTTCTGATACATCTGGCTTGATTCTAATTCCAATTCGGCTTATAGGTTCAGAGAACTATGGACTGCGGAGTAGATAGATGCAACTTGCTCTCAAAGCCAAAAGAAAGCTAGGGTTTGTAACAGGAACGTGTGCTTAGGAATCGTTCAAGGATGCTCTTCTGGAGGAGTGGGAAACTTGCAACGCGATAGTACATTCCTGAATTATGAACTCTGTTTCGAAGGAGTTGCTTAGTGGGATCATCTATGCATCGGATGCACATGTAGTCTGGGAGCCTCATGGAGCGTTTTGATAAAGTGAATCGAGTACGTATCTTTCAATTGCATAGATCAATCTCGAGATTGTCGCGAGGATTTGACTCTGTATCTGTGTATTTTACCAAATTGAAGGAGTTATGGGTTGAGTATGATGTATTAGTGCCATTTTCAAATTGTGGTTGTGCCTGATCTAAGGAACATGTAACTCACTTGCATCAGCAAAGGGTGATGCAATTTCTAGATGGGCTAAATGACACTTATGAACAAGCTCGTCGACAGATCCTAATGAAAATCACTGAACCAACCCTCAATCAAGCGTATGCATTAATCATTCAAGATGAAAGCCAACAATCGATGGGAAGTGCTTCTATGGTTGAGAAGGGAGATCCACTGGCTATGCAAGCTGGGAGAGGACAAGGTTATCGAGGAAAGAAATAGTTTCTACAATGTGAACACTGTCGTATGAAAGGCCACACAAGGAAAATTGCTTCAAAATCATTGGCTACCCTGAAGACTTCAAAGGAAAATGATGGGTTTTCAATGTCTTAGCCTTATGCTTCTTATGTTTTGATGATCTAACAAACTTGTCATGAAGAACCAGATAGAGCACCTGGCGCACAGGATATACATTTCATGTGAACTGGTCGAAGCCTGAAAACCAGCAAAGGGAGGAACAAAAGCAACTGATGACTGACCAGAACCGTACAAAGAGGAACACAACAGGGACCTGGTCCCTTAGGGTTCTCTGACAAAAAGTACAATTCAAGTACACAGCTGGAACGTGACAGAAGAAAGTGACCATCTGGCAACTGTCACAGAAGAGGAACACAACTAGGACCTGGTCTGTTGGTGTGTCCTGACAGAAGTACAAAGTCCACTATCCAGCTGGAACGCAACTGCCAGAAGTGGCTGTGCAGACAGTACAGCAGTCACTTCTCATTGGGAAGAAGCGTACACCAAGAGTTGACATCACTATCCATTGTGCTATCTTTTGTGATAAAACAACCTGGTGCAAGACACACCATTCTTTATGCATTCAGTGATATTCTCTCAAGAAACAAAAGTATTCATCCAGCATTGAAGTCACTGGTGTGTCAAGAACAAGAAGACAACTCCACTAAGGATCAATTTCTAAATGAGTTTATGTACATCCGTAGTTGAGTTGTAATCTTGTTATTTGTTCGTCATTGTAATTCCTAGTTTGCTTTCTTAGAAGCGTTGTCTTAGGAACAAACCAAATTCGTAAACTTCTGAGTTTATGTTGTGACTAGGGATAGTCTTAGTTTAAAGCCTTTGTAACTAGGATAGTTATAGAGTGGCTTGTGGGGGTTGCATCACAAGTTAGTTTGAAGTCTTTGCAATAGGGTTTTTGCAAAGTGGCTTGTGGTGGTTGTATCACAATTAGTTTTGTTGACTTATGTTAGTCCACCAAACTATAGAGTACCTGGTCCTCTATGAGACTGATACGTAGAATGCAGTAAGGACTGAATGTAAAGAAGGCCAGAGATTTTCTACGTGGAAAAATCCCTCACAAGGGGATTAAAAAACCACGACCTACACCTGTAGGCTTTAAACTCCACTAACTTGTAATCTACCCATTACAAGCCACTTTGCAAACTCCCTTTTGCAAAGACTTCAAACTAACTTGTGATGCACCACCATAAGCCACTCTANCGTAGTATTGACCATTGAATGTGGGAGGTCTATAGGTTGATTGTCCTTCTTCAAAGCTTGGTGGAGCAGCCATTGAGGATTCCTCATAGGTGTTAGCCTGATAGGAGAAACCTGCTCTGATATCAATTGTTGACTTATGTTAGTCCACCAAACTATAGAGTACCTGTTCCTCTATGAGACTGATACGTAGAATGCAGTAAGGACTGAATGTAAAGAAGGCCACAGATTTCTAAGTGGAAAAATCATCAAAAAACCACGACCTACACCTGTAGGCTTTAAACTCCACTAACTTGTAATCTACCTATTACAAGCCACTTTGCAAACTCCCTTTTGCAAAGACTTCAAACTAACTTGTGATGCACCACCACAAGCCACTCTACAACTCTCCTAGTTACAGGGGATTTAACTTATGACTATTCCTAGTCACAACATAAACTCTAAAGTTTACGAATTTGGTTTGTTCCTAAGACAGCAAACTAGGAATTACAATGTAGAACAATTAACAAGATTACAACTCAACTATGGACGTACATAGGACTCTATTAGAAACTGATCCTTACTGGAGTTGTCTTCTTGTCCTTGACACACCAGTGACTTCAATGCTAGATGAACTTTGTTATGCTTGAGAGAATATCACTGAATGCACAAAGGAAGTGTGTCTTGCACCAGGTTGTTTTATCACAAAAGATATCACAATGGGTAGTGATGTCAACTCTTGGTGTACTTCTTCCTAGTGAGAAGTGACTGCTGCACAGTCTGCACATCCACTTCTGGGCAGTTGCATTCTAGCTGGATATTGGGCTTTGTACTTCCTGTCAGGACACACCAACAGACCAGGTCCTAGTTGTGTTCCTCTTGTATAACAGTTGCTAGATGGTCCCTTTCTTCTGTCACGTTCCAGCTGTGTACTTGACTTGTACTTTCTGTCAGAGAACCCTGAAGCAGCAGGTCCCTGTTGTGTTCCTCTTTATCTTGATTGCGTACAGTCACTGACTTGCTTATGTCGGAGAACCCTAAAGAGCCAGATCATCAGGTCCCTGTTGTGTTTCTACCTTTGCTGATTTTCAGGCTTCGATTAGTTTGCATGAAATATATATCCTGTGCTCCAGGTGCTCTATCTGGTTTTTCATGCCTAAGTTTGTTAGATCATCAAAACATAAAATACTGAAAACCCATCAAGTTTGAAGTCTTTTCAATAAGGTTTTTGCAAAGTGGCTTGTAATAGGTAGATTACAAGTTAGTTGAGTTAAAAGCCTACAAGAGTAGGTCGTGGTTTTTTGATCCCCTTGTGTGGGATTTTTCCACGTAAAAAATCTCCCGCCTTCTTTACCTTCAGTCTTTACTTCATTCTAGGCATCATCTCATAGAGGACCAGGTACTCTATAGTTTGGTGGACTCACATAAACTAACAATTGGTATTAGAGCGGGTTTTTCCTATCAGGCTAACACCTAGGAAGGTTCCTCTAATGGCTGCTCCACCAAACTTTGAAGAAGCACAATCAACCTATAGACCTCCCAGATTCAATGGTCAATACTATGGCTGGTGGAAGACCCGCATGCACGATTTTATGATGGCAGAAGATTCAGAACTGTGGGACATTATATGTGATGGTCCACATGTTCCCATGAAGAAGATTGAATAAACATGGCAAATGGTTCCTAAAGGAAGAAGAGAGTAGAACGACATTGATAGAAAAGCTGTAGAAAAGAACTATCGTGCCAAGAAAATCTTGATGTGTGGCATAGGACCTGATGAGTACAACAGAGTCTCAGCTTGTGACACTGCCAAAAAAATATGGGAGGCGTTGCAAACCGCTCATGAAGGAACCACTCAGGTCAAACAAGCCAAGATTGACATGCTCACCACAGAATATGAGCTCTTTAGGTTGAAGGATGATGAATCTATACAAGATATGCACACTAGATTCACCTCCATCATAGATGAGCTTCATTCACTTGGAGATGTCATTCCCAGAAATAAGCTCGTAAGTAAAATCCTTAGTGTCCTACCTGGGTCTTGGGAAAGTAAGGTAAATGCCATCACTGAAGCTAAAGATCTACAGACTCTGACCATGGATGAGTTGATTGGTAATCTGAATACATACGAGATGAAAAGAAAGAAAGACAATGAAAGAAGAGAGCCTAAGAAGGAAAAGAACCTGGTGCTTAAGGCTGAAAGTAATGATTCAGGTGATGAAGATAGTGACATGGCCTATCTTACTAAGAGATTTCAAAAGATGGTTCGAAGAAATGGTGGTATACCAAAGTGGGGAAGTTCAAGTAAAGCAAGGAACAACGATCTCTGTCACAGATGTGGAAAGCCAAGGCATTTCATCAAAAACTGCCCACTCGCGAAACAGGAGCAGTACAAGCAAAATCCTGACAAAGTAGGAAAAAAGAACCTGGTTCCAGATAAAAGATTCAATCAAAAAAGTGCTGCTGACAATATCGTTAAGTAGGATCTTGCTGCCTGGGGAGACTCCTCAAGTGAATCCGAAAGGGGATCAGACGCAGAAGATAGTTCCTTGATGGCAGTGGAAACTGAAGCAACGAAGTATGATTCACTGTTCGCGCTGATGGCTCAGTCAGATGAAGACGATGAGTAAGCATCCGGGATGTTCAGAGAAATCTGAAATCCTATTCTTCTAAGAAGCTAAGGTCTTTATCAAATGTCTTAATTGTTGCCTATTATAGCCTTATAAACGATAAGCAGATCCTCACAATAGAACTAGGAGAGGCAGAGCAATCTAGGGATGATCTAGTGGTCTGTGTAGTAGACCGAGATGAGACAATAGCTAATCTTGAAATAGAAAAGGAGGCCTTGAATGAAAGAATAACTAGTGTGGAAAATGAGAGAGACGACCTGATTGCAGTAGTTGTTGATCTAAAAGAAACAATAGAAGGCCTTAACAATGAGAAACACACCTCAGAAGAAAAAGTTGCATCTACTGAAGAGGAAAGGGATGACCTGTTAGCAATATGCACTGATCTAGAGGACATCATTGAGGGACTCAATAGAGAGCATATGAATGTAAGTCTTGGGAAAGGGAAGGAAGTAGCTAGTGAGACACACATCATGCTTGAAAAAGAGTTAAATGTTGTAAAAACCAGTCTTTGCAGTGAACTCGAGAGGAATCAGCAACTCCAAGCTGAGTTGGAGAAAGTAAGAAATGATCTTGAGAAATTCCTGAAGTGGACCTGGTCCTCAGATGCTGTCACTGCCATGTATCTCAACAATAGTGGGACAAGCAGGGCATCGGGTTCCAAAGGGAGAAAACTCCCTACAACCCGCACAACAAGTATGTCACTGTACCTGATAACTGGCTAT